CAGTGACTTCATGGATTTCTGCCATGTTTTGGTCTGGCCGCCCCTAACTTTCTTCCAACCTACTCCTACACCACAAAATATAGCTCGTCGAGGCAGTTGGTGGTTAGGCATACGTAACACATGTCCCAACCACCTCAACTGATGAAGTTTCACCACTTCATCTATTGATCTGCCATCCTTACCCAGTACTCGTTTCCTAACGACAGCATTGCTTACTCGGCTGTCCCACGATATACGAGCAATGCTTCTTAAACATCTATGATCGAATACTAGTAACCTACGAACGGCCATGTTTCACAGCCATATAAGAGAACGGAACGAACTGCTGCGCAGTACACCCGCCCTTTGGTTAGCGAACGGATATCACGCCTACGCCATAAGTGACGTAGGTTGGCAAAAGCCAATCGAGCTTTCTGTATCCGAGCAGAGATTTCGTCAGTCACCAGACCGCCAGCACTGATGAGACTCCCCAGATAAGTGAAGTGATCAACACGCTCGACTACTTCACTCCCTATCACTAGTTCAGGTGCCAATGCAACCCAGTCTTTATGCAACATTTTGCATTTCGAGGGGGAAAACCGCATCCCGAACATGCTTGCATTGTTGCTTATGGTAGTCAGACGACTCTGCATTTTGTCAGCGTCTTCACCGAATAGAACTATGTCATCGGCATATTCTAGATCAGTAAGCGACTTTCCTGGGAGAAGGTCAACCCCTGAAAAAATCTCAAAAGAAGATGGGGTTATGATTCATTCTCAACACAGGAGACTGGATCTGTGGGCAGAACACTTCACGGGTCAGTTGAACTAGCCTTCAGTCACATCTCCGTCACCCAAGATCTCCAGTCAACCTGAGTGACAAATCGATGTAAGTTGAAAAAGATTTAGTAAATCTGAAGCGAGCGAGAGCAGCAGGGACTGATACGCTAATCCATAGGATTTTTAAGGATGGTGGTCCAGTTTTAGCAGTGACATTGACTGAGATCTTAGGTAGAATTTGGGAACTAGTCGTAATCCCATCCGACTGATCTCAATCCCTGACTATCCCAATTTATAAGAAAGGACAAAAGCCCTCTTGTGACAATCACAGGGGAATCAATCTAACTAATATAGTGCCTAAAATATTAGCCTCGATTATACTCACACGCCTAACTAGAGCTCGTGAAGAGAAGACTAGAGAAAACCAATCTGGTTACCGACCTGAACGTGGATGTGTGGACGAGATATTCACATTGGGTCATATCTCAGAACATAGGCGCACATTCATGAGTCTAATAACAGTAGTATTTCTCGAACTTAAAGCGGCATTCGACTATGTCGATCGTGAGGCTCTGTAGCAGTGTCTGTCATTGAAAGGAGTACCAAAGAAGTACGTTAACCTTATACAGGCTCTCTACTCGAACACTAATGGTCGAGTGAGAGCCTATGGCAAACTGTCATCGGAATTATCTGCTTCAAGTGGTGTCCGTTTTACGAATTCTTCTTTATTTCTGTCGTAGATTTGCTTTTAGAGTTAACATTATCCTCGTCTGACTTTTCAGGAGTAGACCTTCTTACAGGAGATTCGCTTGTCGACTTATAATATACCGATGACATATTTCTACTTGGTGAAGACGCTGACAAAATGAAGAGTCTTCTGACTACCATAAGTAACAATGCAAGTATGTTCGGGATGCGGTTTTTCCCCTCGGAATGCAAAACATTGCTTCAGGATTGGCTTGCGACGGCACCAGAACTAATGATATGGAGTGAAGCGGTTGAGCGTATTGACCACTACACTTATTTCATGAGTCTCATCAGTGCTGAAGGCCTGGTGACTAATGAAACCTCAGCACGGATACAGAAAGACCAATTGGCTATATATGGATGCGAAACATGGCCGTTAAGAGTTGAAGACATGCTTGGGTTATTGGTATTCGGATACATGTCTTCAAAGCATTGATCTCGTATCCTGGAACAACCGAGTAAGCAATGCTGTCGTTAGGAAACGAGTTCTAGGTGGGGATCGCAAATCAATAGATGAAGTATTGAAACTTCATAAGCTGAGGTGGTTGGGACATGTGTTACAAATACTTAACCACCAACTGCCTCGAGAAGCTACGTTCTGTGGTGAAAAAGTAGGTTGGAAGAAAGCTAATGGTGACCGAACCAAAACATGGCACTGACAAGTGGAATGAGTCATATTGATAGATGCAGACTACCTGGTTGGGGTTCGCGAGACGATTGTAATCGAGCAGTTGAACGACATGGCTCGAAATCGTTTGCAATGGCGCAGGTGCACCCAGTTTTTGTGTTCTCCTAAATGCTAATCTTCCGAATCCCTGATCACCTTTCTCTTTCTAAATTTATTTCACTGAACTATAGTTCTTGAATAGTATCTTCGAACCCTAATACTCTCCATTACCACTAATACTTCTACTACTATGGGATTTGAACTGGCAATTGCATCTCTGTGCTAATGTGGTATGGCAACCTGCACGTACGTACGAAGTTCTACGTTGTAACTGACTGACTGCTAGGTACACGAATATGTTTCACTAGTTAAAAATTAGTTAATCTCAAATTACGAAAGAGTAGCGGATTGAGATGATCTCTGTCAGCCGCTAATGTTAATTCTCAGTACAGTTGAGCTATTCTTTGAACAACACCAGAAGGTTTGAGTTGAATTTTGCCTGAGAATATTTTTAACACCGCTTCCTTAATCTCCAATAAGACAAAATTTATACAATAAGCTGGTACTAGTCACATAAGTAACCTTTAAGTCAAGTGTCAAACATCTAATTGAGTGCCCACAGGTTTCGAAGTCTGTAGGTCAGATAAATTTAAAGACAAGTCATAGACTCACAATATATCGAGGGAAACCCAACAAAAATCAATAAAAATAATTAACTACTTGAAAAAAAATCCGTTTTATTACAATTAATCATCAAATAAAATAACGATCGATAAATAAATACTTTATAGATGATTAGTGAGAGTAGGATTAATAGTGTCCTATAAATGCTCAATTTGAGTTCAGGTAAATACCGATGAATTATCAATAAATTAACGTTATACTATTAATCCTAGGAATGATATGAGCCCAAAACTATTCGTTGTATACTTTTGCCCCAAAATTTGAGAGAGAAAAGAATATTGATCAGTTGATTGTCTGATTACCAAATATACAAATATATATTATTACTGACAAGACTGCCTTTTAGTCAAAAGCAATAAACGTACAAAACAATATTCTGCATTGGGGAAAATGTGAAATTTGATGTTTTCATATTGTAACACTTTCATATTGTATTCTTTATCTAGATTTTTTTGAAAAGAATATTGAAAATAGTATGAAACAGGATGATGAGATCACGCAACATTGATTAGTTCTGAAAAAAAGTTATATATGTGTAAGTTCTACTAAAAATCAATAGGCTAGATGGGAATTACTGGTTGATAGTGATGGGTAAATAATCATCACCTTCGGAAAAAGGCAAATTTCAATTACCTAACTGATTCATTTACTTACGTTTTCGGAGATCCAACGTTTCAACTAACAATGTTATACCTTTTTATTGTTGAATCAACAAAGCGAATTTTGCATTTACAACCAAGCAATTACACTAACAACAATAAAATTACTAAGGCACGAAAATATTCGTATAAGGATGCTTATAATTGATTACTCACTGAGTAGTGATCATTAGCATGTTTTTTTCAGTCTTTCAGTGCCCATAGAGTTCTATTCACAATGTTGTTGTGACCACTAGTCTAAGTGAGTTGATATAGCGCCTATATTGAAATGTTAGGTGGTTGAAGGTGGTCAACTGGAAACTCTGGATCTAAATTGAGTGTTATTCAACAACTGTCTAAGCCTAGAAAATCATGATACTGGTCAACACTGAAAGATCAATCATTTTTATATATCATAGTCCTACAGGTCAATTGTGGCTCCAACGGTTCAGTGATAACGTCTCAAACTATACAATAAGAATATATGGTAATAATAAGGATAATAGTCCATAAGTTATGGGAGTTACTATTCTTTTCGACGCTTGTTCTGATATATCGATTATAATGAAATTCAGAATTGTTAAGACTAACTTAAATCAGTTTTACTATGGTGTGTTAGGGATACCTCAACAGTAATTATTACTGTAATCATTACTATGAAGTAAAACCACGTAATTAAGACTAATTATGATATCATACGAAATACCATATATGCAGTGATACTTATTTAGTTC